GGAGGCCTCAGGTACTTCTTTACAGTCCTGCCCGTGGCGTACGGGTGGGCAATTCTTCATCTCAATGGGTTTCCTGGTCCTGTGTCTCTGCTCCTGTCTTCTGAGTGCATGTGGGTGTGCACACTACATGACCTATGTTAAGACCATGCATGTTGATTATGGGAACATCTTGCCTCTCCAGTTCTAAACTGTCCCCTTGTCTGCAGAGCATCAAGAGGAGTATGTCAAAAGAAAGCATCCCACAGATAAAATCTTAAAATACACTCCCTCACCCCAATGATTGCTATGGTCTCTATCCTGATGTTAGGAGCCTATGTGTATACAAATTCTCTACAATGTCAGGCTTCCAGGTAATACATGGGGTTAATCACCATCTAGTCCAATGCTAAAATTAAAAAATTACAACTGTCTTTATAAAAATGACATATGATTAGAAATATTCAGAAAGGCTTGGAATGCCCACTAAAAGGTCTTTTTGACCCAACCCCTCCCCTCTGAGACCAGTAACAGGGTGTGACATCAAAACTGAATTCACCAGACTTTCTCTGTTAGCAAGCTCCACATAACAAGTTCACCACCAGGAAAACATACACTATATATTTTGGTAGCTTCCCACAAAAATAAAAACATTACATACGTATCTCACACACAATGCTCATGGGATAGGTCTAAGTCAGACCTGATAGCCCATCACCTTGATTTCTGCCTGGGTGCCTTAACTCTCAACACTGGAATCGAACAGGCTTTTCATGTGATTCAAGTAGAGTGTTGTACAGATAGCACCAAGAAAGAAAACTCTGGTGGTCACGATCCCGAGGACTAACAATGGTTATTAAAAATTTTCTGTTCGTCCAATTCTTTAGGAGAGGTCGATGAGAGGTAAGAAACACAGGGCCTCTGGTTTGGGTTCAGAGTTACGGTTTCTGGGGTTTAGATCCAGGAGGCTAGAAAGGGACAGCACTCAAGCGGGCTTTCATGTGCTTTGGTCATGTCTGGTGTGGGCTGACGATGCCCTCCCCCATTCTCTTGTGGGATCCTTGCACAGTGATGCTCTAGGGGAGCCATAATAAACCTCCACTACTCTATGATATAAGATCCAATCTGAGCTTATTGGGTTTGTTTTTCTAATGGAGGCACATGTGTGACTTCTCTCCCAGATGTAAACACCAGAGGCCTAAGTACTGCTGTGCACACGAGGGCCTTGCGAGTCTGGATAGTCGGGGTAGAGGGCTGCTCCTCCTAGAGTACAGGGAACACCCTGGGGCGATTGTTCCAGCCTCCTGTGCTCTTTCCTGACGTGGTAAGTGGAGCAAATCTTTTTCAGATTCAAGTTAATAAATGGTAATTCTGTACTATACTTGAGAGATACCTGGAGGTTCAGGTATTTCGTGATCTGGAAAATGCCTTCTTTAAGGCCAAGAGAAGTAGCCAAGGGCTTGGTCATGTACAAGGCAGCCCTTCTAGATGAGGTGATTCATTAGCGTGCTATTGACAGACGGGGGGATGATGGCAACAGGAAGGAAGACAGCAAGCCCATTCGAGCAAAAGGAAATCTCTTCAATGTATTCTTGCTTCTGCGGGGGCCTGTTTTCCCCGATACCTCAAGTCCAGTGGACATGGCAACTGTTCGTTAAGTCAATTAAAAAGTACATTTCCAGACATGGGTAGGTGAAATGGCAAATGTGACAGATGAACATAAACACGCTGGACTTGAGAGTCACAGGAAGCCCACAATGAGTGTAGCTACTGAGTATAATTGTCACCTTGTCCCAGACTGTCCCCCTTGCCAGCTTTATCTCAGGGCGAGGGTTCTTTAACTGCTAAAACTGTTAGCACGGTCTTGTATATTTCATCTGCTGGAACAGTAACTAATCTACGTTGGTTTGGCCCCTCTCTAGCACTGAAACTCTCTTTTGAGCATGGCTCTGATGTGTTTTCAAGAACCCAGCAGCGTCACCTAGCACTACCCAAGGAGCGGACACTGCCACTGAAAAATGACTTCCTGACGGTCTGTTTTTCCTCTAAAATGTAAGAACTGGGAGGGCAGCCTTATTCATTTTGTTCACTGTTGTACCCTTTACTGGCTTCAGCAAGGTTTCTATTATGTTATACAGGCTCTGGGTACCGTTTGCCAAATGAATTGGTAGATAAACATATAAATGAATGAATATCCATCAGCCCGCTTACCACGATCCCCAAGATTGACAAGTAGGTGTCATATGAAGCTGCTGGTGGGCAAACTGGACCCGTGTGGGGACTAGAATGGTTTTATGCACTAACGCAAAGAAGGAAGAGGTAAGAGGGGGTTAGCCGACCTTTTGGTAGCCCAGGACCTAAGGGAACAAGTTGTTAATAATGTGATGCAAATTGTTTTTTTGAATCCTCCTGAGCAGGGACTGTTTGGCATACTTCTGTGCGAATCACCCCGACAGTAAATATTTTCAGCTCTGCAGGCCAAAAGAGACTCTGTTGCAACGGTTCTACTGTGGAGCAAAAGCAGCCACAGGTAACTTGTGAATGAACAGGTGTGGCCGTGTTCCAGTACAATCTAACATATGGACACTGAAATCTGAATTTCCTTTAATTTATTCTTATGATCCCTCCCTCCCAACTATTCAAAATGTAAAAACCTCTCTTAGCTCTTGGGATTTGGCTCATGATCTGCAGTTTGCCAACTCTTGCCCTGGACAAGCACCAGGCTGTCACTCTCACAAATCCCGCAACCTCTGAAGGAACCAAACTCTTCAGAAGGAGCCTGTCCCTTCCTCCACGAGAGCAAACTCGCAAGCAAAAATATTACAAGGACTATCACAGGGAACTGCCACACACATAGTAACTTCCGGCCAGATGATCCTCTCTGATTCCTGTCACAAGTTGAAAACCCGGTCTTCGACTAGATTTAGGGCTGAAGCACGAAGGGACATCTATGAATAAATGAAATCCACAAATAATCAAAGAGTCCCCCGAATGGTGGGTAGCACTGCCAGGCCACACCCACCTAAACACAACACGAAAGCTGCCGGCAGAGATCAGCACTTGACTTCCTGATGGTCTGATGCCTTTCCTTCTCTTGCCAGATCTTGGGGAGGGTGAGGAATAATGAATAAAGTAGATCGTCCGTTTGTGAGTAATGAACAATGGCCCCACAGTCAAATCTGGACTCGGGAATCTTATTCGCGCAAACCATGATACTCTGTGAAACACTTTATTCTAAACCAACATTAAGAATTTAATTTTAACCACTAAATAAATGCAGGAACTTGTACTACCTTATAACCACCAATACACAAAGATTTAGATAGCAAGAGCCATATGGTTTGTTCTTTTGAAACCCATTTTTCAAGGGCTTGTTCCACATCAATCAGAAGTGAACTTTGGTGGGGAGATAAATAACACTATTGTTTTGCTTCTGAATAAGCATGCTAAATTTAAAGATGTTTCCAAAGAGTTACGCAAAAATTTGGGGATTTTATGACGTGCCCTTTGCCTGTATGAATATCCCACTGTTCTAATAAGTTCTTATCTTGTAGGCTGAATGGAAAAATATTAACTAGCTAAAGAAAATAACTTTTGAGACAATCTTAAAGAATGTAATTTGTCATATAAGATGATAACTAATTTAAAAAAATCCTTTCTATCCTGAAAAGTCACAACAAAAAGTTTAAGTGTGTTTTGGCTGATTTTTCTCTGCAACTATTTGAAGCTGTAAATGACTTAACTCAGTAAAATTCCAAATGTAATTATCTTCTGTACTTAGCCTAGGGCTCTCCATATATCTCCGCATTGCTGTCTTGCATACAAAATAGGCTTTTCGATGGCTGGTAACAATATAATGTACAACATTGTTTTAATTTCCCCTAGTCGGCTAACCTCTTGTCTAGGCTACACCAGGCAGAGGAAGAAGCCACAGTGAGTCATCAAGCACTCAAAAGCATTTTGGAACTCGGCTGCATAAATGGGGTTTGCAGGGTCAGGCTTTTGCAATTGTACATTTTAATAATCTCCATTTCTGACCCAATTTTTACTTTTAGAAACTAATTTTCTATTAATTATACCAAGAATGGAATTATTGTTAAAATATGGTGGCTCATCAACAAGTGACATCAGAAGTGGAACCCACATTTAAAAATGCCCCCCCCCCCAATCCCTCACAACTGTGATCCACGGGAAAACCCGCAGAAGTTTATTTTCCACAGTCACAAAATACATTCACCATGGTCCAATGAACTGCCAAAAGTGAGATTACATATACGTGTATGTGTGTGTATATTTAAATGTTATATGTGTAAGATACATATACCATACATATACATACATATATACATACATACATACATATATGTGTGTGTGTATATATATATATATATCTCCGTACGTGCTTGTATGTGTGTACATATTTAAAATATTTGAATTGTGTGCACTGGACTCTCCATTGTTCTTCGTGATGGAGAGAAAGAGGGACAAGTTAACAGGAGGAATAAATCCACACGCAGCTTCTACCATAACTTCAGACAGCATGCTCGAGTGCGTGAGTCGTGGCCCAGTCTTGCTAAAGCTCCCATGTGCTTTCTGTCCTCATCCATTTTCTCAATCTCTCTCCCTGGCTCGGCTGCCTAACTCCAGGTTAGGGATCACGGCACATTAGGGGGCTTACATTAACAACAGATAACCGGAAGTTTTCAACTTAGAGCGTTTTGCACTTGCAGGAGAAGACATAAGGGAGGGGAAGCGAGAGAGAGATGGAAAGCTAACAGAGGTAGCGGGGAGTTCGCGGCATACACAGAGATGCACAGGACTTTGAAAACGTCTGAGCAGCAGCTCCAAAGAAGGAGCTGAAGGTGAACTTTCCCGAAGAGTGAAAAAGAAAAGAAAAGAAAGGACAACAACAGGGTTTGGACCTTCCATTCAATAATGAGTACACAGGAACTCATTTCAGAACACTACAGAAATTTGGAATTTGAGGAATACTGAGGTAATATTAAAAATAAATTTGGTTTTACCTGTAGCTCTAATTGCTGTACAACCTGCATTTGTACTCTACATTGAGCTGTACTTCTATCGTCCAGCGCATGCTCACTGTTGAGATGT